TCAACAATGGAGGAAATAATAGCCAGCGGCACCACAAACCTCACGGCGGAAGCCTCCGACTCCGGCAGCTCGACGGAGCAGCACGACCGCCACAAGCGACGGAGGCTGCAGGAAAATCCCGTCCCCGCCAGCAACGCCGCCGCCCCCGCCTCCTCCTCGAGGTTCAAGGGCGTCGTCGCGCAGCAAAGCGGCAACTGGGGGGCGCAGATATACGCCAACCACCAGAGGGTGTGGCTCGGCACGTTCAAGACCGAGGAGGAGGCCGCCTCGGCCTACGACAGTGCCGCCCTGCGCCTCCGCCGCGACGACGCCCACCGCAACTTTGCGTGGACCCGCCTCACCCTCCAGGAGCCCTCCTTCCAGAGCCAGTTCCAGACCGGAGAGCTCCTGAAGATGATCAAGGACGGGTCCTACGCCCAGAAGTTCTCAGACCACTGCACGCGGCTCGCTACTGCCGCTGCCCAGGGCGGTCAGGCGAGTCTGACCGGCCCGGCAGGCAGCAGCGAGCCGGCGTGCTCGGTTCTGAGGCAGCTCTTCAAGAAAGAGCTGACTCCGAGCGACGTCGGGAAGCTGAACCGGCTCGTGATCCCGAAGAAGTACGCGCTCAAGTACTTTCCTCGCGCGACGCCGCCGACGCCGCCCTCGGAGAAGGCCGTCGGGGACACGGACGACGAAGAAACGGAGCTCGTGTTCTACGACAGGTCGATGCGGTCGTGGAAGTTTCGGTACTGTTATTGGAAGAGCAGCCAGAGCTTCGTGTTCACCCGGGGCTGGAACCGGTTCGTGAAGGACAAGGGGGTTAAGGCTCGGGACACGGTTGTTTTCTCGGCTTATGAGTTCAACAAGGATGAGAACAGTAATGGGCCAGGGGCACGTCGGTCAATTTGCGTGGTAGACGTGGAATATAACAAGGACAATGACATTAACAACAAGGACCAGAATAAAGAGACACGGAGGGAAGGAGGGGTAGAAGTGGAAAAGGAAAATAGGGCCGTGAAAGCAGCCGGATTCACTCTTTTTGGTGTACAAATTATCTCATTAGGTTGACTTCTATTTCTCACCTTCAAAATGAATTTTTAATTTCATTTTTTTATTCTCTCAAATATGAGGACTTTGAAAGGTTAGTAAAATTTATACTTTTTACATTTTTCAATATTAGAAAGTAGGAAATATATTTTGTAAATTTAGTTTAATCAATGATATTATGTTTTGCAGATTAATTTGATACATTTTTGTATACTATAGTCAAATGAAACTCTTGTTTGGGATACAGGGAGTACATGTAATGTAACTACTCCAGTATTATTGGAGTAAATATTTTTTCTTTATTATTAACTAGATTTCATACTTGTGCGATCCACGGCTAAAAAATTTCCAAATTTTTCAATATTTACTAGCATCACACTCGTGCGTTGCACGGGTCATTTTTATGTTATTAAATTTAAATCATTTTTCAATGATAAAAAATGAGATGCAATAGATATAATGATTATATTATTTTAAGGTACAAAATATCATTGTTTTACAAATTTTGAATGACTTTTTTATAGACTACATTATTTGTACAATTTGTGGGAATATTGTATTCATCGCATATCAGAATCTTTAATTCACTACGATTAGTTACTCTGCAACATAGAGTTGCCCATGACTAAAACATGTTGGATTATTGTTACGGAAACCCTATGATGGAATATGACCTAATTAATTGATAAATGAGCAATTCATATTTTTCTTAACACATCTTTATTAATTCTTTCCTTTTTCTATTACTCTTTATTAAATACACACGGAATTACCTTTTTTTCTCTTTGTTTTTCATCCTGTCCAAATTCCCTTTTAAATTCAAAAAAGTAAAGCTTTTTAATGTATTTGACTTCGCCCAAAATAAAGAAAGGAGCATGCTACATGTATCCCAAAATTTGTACCCCACTTATACACCAAAGGTATGAACCAACATTTTGATGATGCACAATGACACATAGTGTTGGTGTGTTAACAAAAATTTACACCGACATAAAATGTTGGTGCATTAATAAAAATTAGCATTACACCAACACAAAATGTTGGTGCATCCATGCAGTGTACAAAATTGGGTACAAATTCTTGGGGTATAAATAACTTTATCCATAAAGAAAAGCTTCCCTTGCTTTTTAAAAAAATTAATAATAATGTATCAATCTTCTATCATTCCTTTTTTCTCAATCCTTTCCTGTGATAATATGTTCACATAAAAAAGACATGGTATTATATTGTTACATTTTTTCTTAGTTTCCTTTTTATTAAATCTTAATTTGCGTGTGAATAACCTACCGTTTTAGATTTCTAACCTTTATTTTATTTCCAGCACAAAAAATAACCTCCTTTGATTTTTAATAAAAATAATTATAACATCACGGAATTGAGAAAAATAGCCTCCTTTCTTAATTCTTTCCTTTTTTAATACTCCGTATCTTTTTAAAGCTTTTTCTTTTTTATAAAACACACACTGTGTGATGCGATTTAAATGTTTCCTTTCTTATTTTTTTCCTTTTTTTAATTTCTTCATTTTATTTAACCGCAGGTTTTACATCTTTTTCCTTTCTTAAATCTTACCTTAAACATAGATCCCATATTATTATTACTTAAGAGCTGCTGCTTTTCTTTCTTAGTTCTTTTCCTTTTAATAATCCACGGAGAATTTGTTGTTAATTGCACCTTTTTTTCAATATTAGCATAATTAGACAATTTGGTATTTGGTAATGCATAAGAACCGTAGATCCAATAACATTTTTTTAAAACCAACATCTTTACTTTTTTATACTACCCTCCGTCCCAATTTATAGTGCATGTTCACTATTTACAGGGTCAAACTTCATTCACTTTCTTTCTCAATTTTCGTTAGCAATTTGATAAAATAAAGTATTATTGTCACCACTAGTTTTGTAGATCTTTTGATGTAGTATTTTGATATGTAATTTTCATTTTTTAATTCTATACCATTTTTCATATAAAATGATTTGAAAATAATTTCAGTCAAACATCGTAAACTTAAACGGGCGCTATAAATTGGGACGGAGGGAGTATCACTTAATTCTTTAAATGTGTTTCCTTTTTTCCCTTTTTTAACATTACACACGTTTCATCTTCTTTATGAATTCTTTCTTTTTTCTCAAATTCTTTATTAATTACACATGGATTTTTCCAAAAATAAAGCTTTCCTTTTTTAAAAAATAGAACTATGCATTTTCCTTTTTATTCATAATACACACGGTCCATATTTAATAAATGTGTTTCCTTTTTTCCTTGTTTGTTATAGAACACATACTGTGAATCTTGTTTATTAATTCTTTCGTTTTTCTTATACTCTTTATTAAAATAGACGCGGATTTTCCCTTTTTTCTCTTTGCCTTACATTTGTTTTAAACCAACCGTCCATAGATTGCCAAATATCAACGGCTCTTAACCCTAGGCGATTGGGCGGAAAAATGATGGGTGCCTTTTTCCCCTGCTTTTAAGAATAGAATTATTAATTATTTCGTTTTTCTTATACTCTTTATTAAATAGATGCAGATTTTCCCTTTTTTCTCTTTGCCTTACATTTGTTTTAAACCAACCGTAGATCCCATGGATTGCCAAATATCAACGGCTCTTAACCCTAGGCGATTGGGTGGGAAAATGATGGGTGCCTTTTTTCCCTGCTTTTAAGAATAGAATGATATAGTAACATCTTTGGTGAGAGGTCGAGAAATATTGATGAGGCAAAATAATTTTCTTGAAAATGTAAATATTATGAAGGCAAATAATAACTATGTATCTAAAGACAACTTAATTTAAAGAAAACTCGCTTTTTTTAGGAAAAGGTCACAATTTTAAAGAGGGGGAGAGAACAAACCAAAACCAACCTAGAAAAACGAAAGTGATAGCCAAAAAATATCAAAGAAACACGAAAGACATAAAGCTCGTTAGTCCGTTGAGACGCCACAAAAAGCTACATATCTAAATACGGAGTAACATTTATTACCAAGCTAACCACAATCTACCTTCAGTATCAAAATCTAGGCATCTTAGGTATGAAAAGCGAATACCATCAAAACTTGCAATACACAATAACCATTTCAAATAACTTCATGGCTAAAAAAATAAAAAATTGCAAGCAAAAGCGTAAAGAATATACTCCATCCGTCACTGAGTGTTTGTCCACTTTCATTTTTGCACACCATCCAATGCACTCCTTTAATCCATTTTATCTTGTAATTTGTATATTAAAAAATTATAAAAATTATATATTAATAATCTATATGTTAAGACGAATCAAACAAGATCACACATGACTACTTTTAGGCTTACACATTGAGAGAATTTGATGAGTCAAAGTGCTTAGATGAACAGTTCCAAAAGTCAAAAGTGGACAAACACTCAGAGACGGACCAAGTATAAAGTTATATTCATGGCTAAAACAATTCACGTTAAGTTTACTAAATATATATAGATATCAAAAAACTTCATGGCTAAAAAAAAGTAAAAACTTGCCAGCAAAAGTGTAAAGAATATATAAAGATATATTCATGGCTAATACAATTCACGTTATGTTTACTAAAGATATATAGATATCAAATAAGTGAAAATTTGGTTGGGCATTCAGAAGATCCAAGCTGGAACCGGAGGGTATGTTCAAAGTTGAGTAATTCAAAAATTTTATTTTAGTTATTTTATTGAAAGATCTATTTTTTACACTTCAAATAGGAATTGGATCTATTCTTTTTGGTTCAAAATTTGATCAGATTCATTTTCGAAGGTCGTAACATCAGATTAGATCTAAATCATTTTCTGTTTTGAGAAAGATTGAATATTTGTTTTTTAATTTCTTGATATGGACAATGTGTTTTTTTTTTACAATAAATGAGTTCTTTTCAAAACTTGTTTGTATCTGATGTTAATACCATGATGATGTTAAGTATCTACAAAAATTCAAAATTGTGTGATGCTCGTGTTGGAGAAGCTACAAGTTTAAAGTGGTATAAGTAAAACTTATGTATACATGTTTGATACAGGAAGTTCTTTAAAACAGGCTAATTTGAAAAAAAGAAACCAAAAGATGATTATCTTAAGAACCATGAAACTGATATATGCTCCATTACTCCAGACATTAAAATGAAGCGAGATCTCAACAAAGAATTTGAAGACATGGATGCTCATTTGAAAAAAAGAAACCAAAAGTGAGTATCAAGATTGAAAAGGCTTGAATCAAGTTTATTAAAGTTGCACAGATTTAGACACTTTTCTTTTTTTATTAAGACAACTCCTAAAGTGTTTTTGTTTTAGCGTGGCCTATTTCCCTATGTTTTATTTCTACTGGCTCCTAAGTTGACTATTTCCTTTATTTTGTTTTAAATTATCATGCTATGAGCCAGTAGAAATAAAACATATGGAAATAGACCACGCTAAAACAAAACACTTTAGGAGTTGTCTTAATAAGACAAGAACAGTGCCTAAATATGTGCAATTTTAATAAACTTGATTCAAATTAAACTTTTTCAATCTTCACACCCACTTTTGGTTTCTTTTTTTCAAATGAGCATCCATGTCTTCAAATTCCTTGTTGAGATCTTTCTTCATTTTAATGTCTGGAGTAATGGAGCATATATCAGTTTCATGGTTCTTAAGATCATCATCTTTAATGGAACCCTTACATGATGACACATCATCAATTGGCTCAACAATGGGCTGGAGCGGTTTACTCTTTACAGAGTCCTAAATAAAAATTGTTTGTTAGTGAGATGGTTTGTTAAATAATAATGAGGTTCAATGTTAACTTATACCTGTGTGGTAGAGATGTCAAATGTAAACCGGGCCACTATTCTCTTGTCGGTAATGATCTGGTGGACAGTTAAGTCCTTTTCATAAAAACTTGATGCTGACTTTTTAACTTCAATCTCAAACAACAGTGGCTGATCAATGGAGCTGAACACCTTTGGGATTTTAATATCATCACCCTGAAATTGTTAATAACATTATCATCAAAACATATAATAGTATGTACATGGAAATCAAATGGTAGTTAGACTGTTGTAAGAAAAAGCATACAATATCCTTTAAAAATGATTCAGCTTGTTTTCCAAAGAGTGGTATGCAATGTTTATCCCACAACATCAACGCAAGGTTTCCTGTATCGTCTACTACCCTGACTCTTTAGCAGTACCTGGTTTAGTTTCTGCAAAGAAAGTAATATTTATTTTAAAATTTTACAATGAAAATAATTAAGTAATAGTTTAAGAAAATGAAAATGTACCTCAAAACAAAGCCAGACAGGTCACAAGCAGCACAATAATTACTCCCATTAGTAGGTGTTAGCTTCCTAGAACACTTTATACCGGATGTATAACACCAAGAACCAAGTTGTTCAAACCCATGAATCTTACATAGTGACCAGACACGGCCCTTCTGTGAAATGAGTTATTCATGTTAAGCGGGTACTTTTGGGGCATGTATATTGATCTGTAAGAACAATTTGGACTAACGTGCTTGTTTTTTTTTTGTTTTCCTGTATAGAAAAAAGTATTCAACTTTGAATATGAAACATTACATAGTGGTCATGAATAAGATTTATATATTTTACCTTATAATACTGTTTCCTTTCAAAATAGCAACAACTAAATGAAGCAGTTGTTTTTTGAGGAAATCCAGCATCTGTTCAACATATGAACCCCAGTGTGCAAGACATTTTCTCACCCTTGCATGTGAGTTTAGTTTTAGTAAATACTATATAACATAATATGCAAGCATAGCCAAGGAAAAAACAATAATAGTGTACTCCAAATCTTCAAGGAAAATATGCATCACTCTAACTTTTGCTTAACTTTTCTAAATCTATTGGTCGGTGGTTGATCAACATGCAACAATCTAATAAGATCTAAACTTTCTTAAAAAAAAGTCACAAAATTAAATCAAATAAAGGTATACATACAAAGAAGTATTTTATGAAAGGAATGTAGTTTTTTATAACATTACCAAACATTGCTCGGTATTGAATATCAATCGCAACGTTGAGTACTTAAAAATTTGCAAATTTGAAGACTAATTCAATTCGTCCTTGACATCTATTATGTGTGTGTGTCTTTCACCAATGATAGCTTGTACTAATGGTCTGTCAAGTTTTGAGAATTATTTGAGACAAATAGGTTTTGAATTCCATGTATTTATCCCTCTTTCAGCAAAGGCTTGAAGTGCTGCATCAAAGGCCTTTTCGCAGAATGCATGTATGCGATTTCTCAATAGTTTATAAATGAAATTAACAATTGCAAACATCAACTTTGAGATGGAATACCTAACACAATAAATGTAATATTTACTGATATAAACCTGGCGATCTTGAAAATAGCTTCGTGCCCTTAAAATGTTGTTTTGAGATCATAATGACGCAGAAGTCTAAGTTTCATGTCTGGATGCCTGGCACCTGTTGAGAGGGATCCAATTTGGAGACATTTTTGAAATGGAGATTTGGAATTGACGATTGTGGAAATATATGCATGTAGAATTCGTGAAAAATCCTAGCGGGGCATTAGATCCGCAACATTCGTGAAAGGAGGGCATAAACCGGCGGTTTCAAAGAGTTTTACGCAGTTTTTTTGTCATCGGGAGTTGAATGCGGATATTGTGGGTTGGGGAGAGAGTCGTGTGATCGCTTTTTTCTCTAGATAAGGGATATCTATGGCTGAGATCTTTCTATTTCTTCACAGATTAAAATTGGGCCCCCTTCTCTACACCTCTAATCGAAATACCTACCATGCTTCGTTTACAAAATTGATGATTCTTACTCTCATAACTTCTTGGTAAACCCCCACCCTGATTTGCATCAAACTCATCACCCAAACCTCTACAATTTTATTCCCCAAATTTATTTAATTTTTGGATAAAAAATTTGGATCCAAAAGTCAAATAAATTTGAGAAATAAAATTGAAGGTGTTGGGGTGATGGGTTCGAGACGGATCGGGAGTGTGGGTTTACCGGGGAGTTCGGTGGTAGGAACCAAAATTTTAGATTGGAGCACCGTAAGTACTCCGATTGGAGGTGGTCATATTATGACATTATTTTTTGTTGTCAACAAAAGTGAGGTGTAGTATTTGATAGTAGCTAGAAGACTGATACTGTGTTCTCTTTATCTGATCTGATTGGTTTTGATATGATTTAAATGAAGTTATATTTAAAGTTATTTCTGATCTGATCTAGTGTTATATGATCCGATCTAGTTTGATCTAATCTGATTCCAATAATAATAAGTAATAAGTAAAATAAAATAAGTAGGGGAGAACATGACCTAAATATGAAAAACTCCTTGTTTTAATAGACCAATTATTAAATATAACCTTCCATTTTAATTTATTCCTTTTGATTCTTTACACTTTTTGTTTATCTTTCATTTTAGAGTTGTGTTTCTATGGTTCTAGGTCCACACAAAAAATATAGATCTTTTCATAGATTTTATGGGCTTACAAGTGAACCTTTTTTGTTAAATCAAGTCAATATTTCATAGACAAATATTACCTTGTAATAGATTATTAATGTTAAAAAATGTCACTATTTTTTTAAACATCGTAAAATCTTATTTCTTACGTCTCATAAGAAAGTTTCCCCTTTGACTTGACAAAGAAATTTAAAAAATTAAAACTGTGTGGTTGAAAGTAATGCAGAAAAAAGAAATTTTATGAGCCTAAATTTTTTTCAAAAAGAGTGGAACCTTTTTTAGACAAGCAAGAAAGAAAATATGAAACCTTTTTATAAGACAGAAGGAGTATATCAAAATATTTGTCTCGTTTAGAAGAAGAGACATTCATTAATTAACTCTCAGAACCCGTTATTAGAACATCATTGAAAATTATTTCTAAAACAATTATTTAAATACTCTCGTCTCAAACTAATCTTTCCAATTACTACTCTCTCCGTCCTAATTCTTTCTTCCCAGTTTGACTTTTCCCCATTTTTAATTTTTGGCTTTGACTTCAAATTTTACCCTCCTTAAAAAAGAATTTTTGAAATTTTTTTACAATCATTCAAAATATAGAGTTAGAAGATAGTTGGTGTAAATACATGAGGGTATTAATGTCATTTGTTATCTTTTTTTTTCTAATAGAAGGTAGTTTTAGGATGGAGAAAAAGGGAAAGTGGGAAGAAAGTTGTAGGACGGAGGGAGTATTATATCCCAATGGTTTAAATTTATATGCATATTTCGATATATTGATTTATTAAAAAAATAAATATTCTTGTCACTTTTTTGTAGATATTTTGATATAGTTTTAAACAATTTAATTCGTACTTTTTATTTTTATAATCCCTTCATCTCAAATTAAGCCTTCTAAATTGACTTTGCATGAAGTCTTAAAAAAGTAAAATAGTGTAATTGAAACTTGAGAGAGAAAAAAGGTGGGCCACACAAAACTTTTCAAAAAAAAAAAGAAAGATTAATTTTGGAACAACCCAAAAAAAATAATAAAGACGATTAATTTGGGACCAAAGAGTACTAAACTATAAATAAAATCATTTTAAAAAAGATAAAATTTTAGACATTCTTTCAAATAAAAAAAAGAAGAAATTAGGACAGAGGAAGAATCTATATAGGGTCTGTTCTTTTGAGTTTAAAAAGTTAACTTCCAACATTTTAAGAAATTAGACCAAATATAGTAAAACATAGCATTTATGCTCAGAATAAGAGTTTAGAAATCACCCTAAATAGGACTAAAACATAGAGAAAATACCAAAATAGGAATTTCATGTTTTTTTCCTGAAATAGGACTTTGCACTGTGGTAATGTGGCAGTGTACATGTGCAAATTACCATACTTTTTTGGTAATGTATATGACCATGTATGGTAATGTAAGTCCTATTTCGAGAATAAAAATATGGAAGTCCTATTTTGGTATATTTTCAATGTTTTAGTCCTACTTTGGTCTTCCTCCCATAAGAGTTCTATGTTTTTATCCCTAAAATAAGAGTTCGCACTGAGATATTATAGCGCTGTATAGTGACATCCCACTGTATTTTTTTGGCACTGGCATTATTGGCACTTTTGGTATTCTACTCCCATTTTTAAATTAAAAACATATAGCTTATATTTTGATAATTTTTTTTCATGTTTTATTCCTAGTTTTATCTCTTTTTCCTAACATTTTCTAATTGCTACTATAATGCTATATTCTTCCATTCCTTCTACTTCCTCCGTCCTACTATATTTGTCCACTTTTATTTTTGCACACCATCCAATACACTTCTTTAATCCATTTTATCTTGTAATTTGTATATTAAAAAATTATAGAAATTATATATTAATAATCTATATGTTAAGACAAATCAAACAAGATCACGCATGACTATATTTAGGCTTACACATTGAGAGAATTTGATGAGTCAAAGTGCTTAGATGAACAGTTCCAAAAGTCAAAAGTGGACGAATATAGCGGGACGGAGGGAGTACTTTTTTCCACTTTTCTCAATTTCTTAACTCTATGGTGAACCTTAAGTCTACCATACACTTGAAAATAAGTAATTCTTTAGATAAAAGTAAAAAAAAATGTACAAGAAAATTCACAAAAAATGGTATTCCAGAAGCACTCTTCTTCCAACTCTTTCTTCATTGAGCAATGCTAGGTTAACAAACAGAATGATCACAAACTTCACAAACTTACTATTTATAGTTTAAATTTTTATTTTAAAATTATTTTAGATTATACTTCCTCCGTCCCCCTGTATTTGTCCACTTTCATTTTTACACACCATCCAATGCACTTCTTTAATCCATTTTATCTTATAATTTGTATATTAAAAAATTATAAAAATTATATCTTAATAATCTATATGTTAAGACAAATCAAACAAGATCACACATGACTATATTTAGGCTTACACATTGAAAGAATTTGATGAGTCAAAGTGCTTAGATGAACAGTTCCAAAAGTCAAATGTGGACAAATACAGGGGGACGGAGGGAGTACTATTTCTTTATTAAAGTTCACGAATAATAATTTTGTGAAGATTGTGTTTGTGGCATTTCTCTTCTTCATTTAGTTTGAAATTCAAACCTAAAAGAAGAAGCTTTAAACACCAAAAATTTGGGGAGTTGTGTACGACCTTACCCTATGCTCGGCATTAAAAACCATATCCCATTCCCTACCCACCGGCCTCTGCACAAAAACTAGTTCTCCGGCAAAGAAAAGGAGATGGGTCATTAAAACCCCGAACCAATACCCATTTATTGCCGCCAACTACTTCTGCAATCTCTTCATATAGCTATGGCTTATAAGCCAATATACAACCAAACCCAAACAAAGACATCCCAAACAAGAAAGCTAAGAGAGAAAAAAGAAATGGCGCCCTCCACCACCGCCGCCACGCCGCCGGACGGGCTAATCTACGACGTGAGGCTGACGTCGGTGGGGCCCGGGAACGTGACGGGGAATGACGTGGTGTACGAGCCGAGCAACGCGGACCTGGCGGTGAAGCTGCACTACCTCAGGGGGGTGTACTACTTGGAGGGGGCGGCCTTCGAGGGGCTGACCGTGCTCAAGATCAAGGAGCCGCTGTTCACGCTCCTCAACCAGTACTACGTCGTGTGCGGGCGGCTGCGGAGGGCGGAGCCGCCCTCCGGCCGCCCGTACATCAAGTGCAACGACTGCGGCGTCAGGTTCATTGAGGCCTGTTGCCGCAAGACTCTGGAAGAGTGGGGAGAGGTCAAGGACGCTGCCCTTGAGAATCTCCTCACTCCTCGTGGAGTCATTGGCCCTGAGCTCTTCTTCTCTCCCCCCGTTTGGATTCAGGTCAGTTTTCTACTCTAGGCCAGTGTTTTGGAAACCGGATCGGACCGGCCGGTCCAACTAGTTGGACCGTGACCCAATCACTAATTCAGTCCGATCCAAGACACTATAGATGAAATTATTGTCTTTAATTTTATAGTTTGAATTCTGTGTACAAAACAGAGTCATAGTGTCTTTATGTGTGCCTGAAATTGTGCAGCTAACAAAATTTAAGTGTGGTGGAGTGTCATTGGGCTTGTGTTGGGCCCATATTCTAGGGGATGTATCATCCGCCGTAAAATTCATGAACATGTTTGGGAAAGTCATCGGCGGCCTCAAACTTGAACCGCCCGTTTCTGTGGCCCATTCCCTCCACAAAGCAACGGCCCATCAAGACTCTGCAAACGCAGTGGAAGGCCCACAATCGATCAAGAAAGTGAGCCCACCGGTTGGAGACCATTGGATCATCGCCAACAATTCCAGAATGCAGTCTTTATCATTCTACGTGTCTCCATCACAACTGGGCCACATGAAGTCCATTATAGGAGGAGACTACGGCCCGTTTGAGTTGATATCGTCGATCTTATGGCGGGCCGTGGGCCGGCACAGAAAGGGGCCCGAGCCCAGAGTTGTAACGGTTTGCAGGAAAGGCCCAGAGACCCGGGAAGACAGTCACGTCAGCAACGGCCAACTGATCAGCGCCGTGAGAGTCGGCGACGATATCTCCGCCGTCGGCGAAGCGGATCTGTCGGAGTTGGCGCGGCTGGTGAAACACGGCGGCGGCGGGGAGGAGCTGAGGAAGATCGACGAGGCGGTGGAGAGAGAGGGCGGAAACATTGACGTCATCCTCTACGGTGCGAAACTAACCCTGGTTAACATGGAGGATGTGGAATTCTATGAGTTCGAGTGGAGAGGACACAAGCCAATCGGCGTGAGCTACCAGATCGACGGCGTCGGGGATGAGGGCTGCGTTCTTGTGCTCCCCGGGCCATGCGGCGGCGGCGACGGAGAGGGAAGGGTTGTTACGGTGGTTTTGCCGGAGGATGAGGTGGTGGAATTGAAATCAGAGCTCAGAAAAGAATGGTCAATTATGAATGATTGATTGAATTCGATGCTAAAATGGAGTTTCTTCTAATAGTGTGGCGCATTGAATTCTTGAATTGTTCTTTCAATATCTCACGAACTATGCTTTGTTTTTACTTCAATTCAATTAGAACAACTGAACAAGTGGTTGTTTATTTGAAAAATAATTTTATTCCTAACGTTTGTTTGTTGGATGAAATTATGATTAATTTCTACTTACGAGTCTACGAGACTACGAGTCTACGACCAAGTAGGAAAGAGTTTTTGTTTAGAAATCACCTCCATGCCAATCTAATTCACTCTAAACTACGCATCTAGCACTACTTATTCTTTTTAACAAATTTAGCACTTTTTTGTGTCAATCCTTTACTATCATGTCCTTTAACCTTTTTTTGCTTTTTCTCATTAAAAAATTAAGCCCTAGCCGCACGTAAGTCTGTTCTCGCGCACGTACTCTTCATCGGCGCAAGTTCTACTTTAGTCGCCCATGATCATGCATCCTCAGGCCTTCTCCCACGATTCCTGCTCCGATCAACAGCGGCAATCATCAGGTTATCTCGAATTCCTTCAAAGATGTGACTAATCATTTTCTCTTCTCCTTCAATTTTTAATTTTCATTCCTTTCATCCCTTTATTTGGATTTCCATGTATTTTAAGTTTAATTATTGTGTTTTCTTCGTACTAAAGATTAGGTGTTGTGAAATCAATTTTGAAATACCTAATATTTGTCCCTTTTGAAAAATTAGGTCTTTTGAAAGACATTGTGATTTTGGCAGTGTGATTTTGACACTTTCAAGATTAGGTGTTATGGTGTGGGCAGTGTGAAGATTAAATGCCTAAATGTTGCCCTTTTTTTGTTTTATTTATTTCCTATTTTTCTTCGTAGAGAATGTTTAACATAATGGCATATGTTCGTGATTTTGACAGTGTGATTTTGGCACTGTCAAGATTAGGTGTTATAGTGTAGGCAGTGTGAAGATTAAATGCCTAAATTTTGGTTTGTCATTTTATGATTTCATCTCACCATACTACAGACGGGAATCATTAGTTGCTACTTACAATGGCATTGTGCACCCAATAGGAGATAAATCTTCCTGGAGTGTTCCGTCGGATGTTGCATCAGTGATTTGCAAGCCTCCATCTTGTAATAAGCCTCCCCCGGGTAGACCAAAGAAGAGGAGACTTCCATCTGTCGGTGAATTTCAAATAGGCCATAGGCGTAGAAAGCAAAGATGCACACGGTGTTTGAATTTGGGGCATAACGTAAAAACACGCAAAAACCCAATACCAAATTGACACTGCATTCTTTCATATTCCGTATAATATACAATTCTCAACAATTTCCTTCATCCATTTTTGACGTTGTTCAGACACATTCTTTGTTTTTTCACTCTTTTAATAGTTGTACTCCTTATACTATAACTTGATTTTTTTAGTAATATATAATACTTTGTCCACTTGCACCATTTAATTACAAAAAGTGAATAGGATATAAGTTGCATTCTTTTACTTCTTATTAAATTCCTTGTGAAATGTGGAAGTGTATTACGGCAGTGAATTTTTGGCAGTAAATATATTGTGCTAGTTTAAAAATATACTGTGCCAGTGTATATATTCTGGAAGTTTATTTCAAACAGTGAGTTATTGGCATAGTGTATATTTTGTGGCGGTGTAAATATTGTTGCAGTGTATTTTAAACATTGATTTTTTGGAAGAACATATTCTGGCATTGTAGAGATTACATATTCTAGTGTATAATTACCGTAAAAAAATAAATCCCACGAAATAAAATAAATTCTGCTCATTTTTTTCAGAAGACTCGTATGTAGTAGGGCACTAAATTCAATCTCAAACATATTGTGGCAGTGAAGAACATAGAATTTCATACTTATTTCTAATGTGGCAGTGAAGATTGTGCTTACATTGCAGTGTATATTGTACTCTTTTAAACAAAGTGTGCAGTGACTGCCTAAACAATTTTGGAAACGTGGAATGGTCATGGCAGTGTGACATAAAAAAAATTTCCAGGAATCCACTTCTCAAATCACTAATTAATTAAATGCCCATAAATTATTACTAAAACAAATCATAATATCATTTATACCACAAAAAACTAAAACAAACTCACGAACTTTAAAATATCCAAGGTACGTATAAAAAAAAGTCTATTTCTTTCTGGATTCTTCCTTCCTCTCATAGCTATAAGCTAAAAGTTCTCCCATCTTGCATAACACCTTTAGAGGCCACGTCAGCTTCCTACAACAACAATGTAGCATCTAGGTAAGCTTTAAAAAACCAAAAAATGGAAACAAAGGGAAACAAAGCCAAAAAAACAAAACATTAATCAAAACAACACTGCCAAGCTTAAAAAATAAAACTCACTGCATAGAACCAAAGGGAAACAAAAACACACTGCAGAAAATAAAAACAGACTGAAGAAAATTAAAAACACATTGCAATGAACCTTCAACAAAAACCCCCTGCCACCCCGGGAAAAAAATTTATTCTAAACTTTGTAAGAAAATTTTTTTAAGAAGTAAATTCAATGCCAAAAAAAAGCAAAAATGTGTTCTAAACTTTGAATTACGTCTAACATTCACAAAAAAACCTAAACAAGTTCAACAAAGCCAAAAAAATTCAATACATTAATCAAAAAACACTGCCAAGCTTAAAAATTAAAACACACTGCATAAAACCTATGGGAAACAACAAACACACTGCAGAAAATAAGAACACACTGAGGAAAATTAAAAAACACATTGCAGTGAACCAACTACAAAAACCCCCCTGCCAACCCGAAAAAAGATTTATTCTAAACTTTGTAAGAGAATTTTTTTAGGAGCAAATTCAATGTCAAAACGAAGCAAAAACTTATTCTAAACTTTGAATTACGTCTAACATTCACAAAAATTGCCCGTACGAGTTCAACAAAGCCAAAAAAATTCAACACGTTAATAAAAAAACACTGCCAAACTTAAAAATTAAATCACACTACATAGAACCAAATGGAAACAAAAAAACACACTGCAGAAAATAAAAACACACTAAAGAAAATTTAAAAACCCATTGCAGTGAACCTTCAACAACACCCCCCTGCCACCCCGGGAAAAAAACTTATTTTAAACTATGTAAGAGAAATTTTTTTAGAAGCAAATTCAATGCCAAAACCAAGCAAAAACATATTCTAAACTATGAATTACGTCTAACATTCCCAAAAAAACCTAAACGAGTTCAACAAAGCCCAAAAAAATTCAATACTTTAATCAAAAAAACACTGCCATGCTTAAAAATTAAAACACACTGCATAGAACCTAAGGGAACACATTGCAATGAACATAAAATGCTAAAACCACATTGCATTGAAAATGAACCGCCTAAACGTACTGCAGGGAACACATTGCAGTGAAAATAAAATGCCAAAACCACATTGCAGTGAAAACGAACTGCCTAAACGTACTGCAGTGAAAATGTACTGCCTAAACGTACTGAAGAAAATTTAAAAAAACATTGTAGTGAACCTTCAACAAAACCCCCCATGCCAACCGGAAAAAACACCTAATTCTAAACTTTGTAAGAGAAATTTTTTTAGAAGCAAATTCAATGCCAAAAACGAAGCATACATGTATCTTCTCTAATCTTTTGCTTAGAGGGATCTCGTCCAGTGCACCTTCGCTTGCCATTCAAACCCTGGGTCTCCTTCCGGAAGCTGCTGCGGCTTTGCGTTCGGCAGTGAAAGAGGTCGTGTGAGTGGGAAGATAGGCTGCTGCGCTATAGCGTTTGGCCCGTAAAGCTTTTTTTAACCTAATTAGGAGAATTTAGTATTATGTGTTTATTTAAGGACAAAAAAGAGGATTCATCTCCAAAACTAATAACACTGCTATTTTGAGTATTAAAATACTATTAAAGTGCTATTTTCGTATTTCTCCCTTTTTGTTTACTTTCTTTCTCTTTTTTCAATCAAAATTTATAAACTTTAATTCTAAATTAAATAAACAGTATATTAAATATTGATATAAAAAATAAGTTTATTAGTTTAATTATATAAAATATTTTCAAAATATTATTTAATTTAGTTAATATATAATATATATTTTATTTATTTATAGATCAAAGATTAAAAATGATTTATCTAACAAAAAAATTGGACAAATATTTTAGAACGGAAGTAGGAAGTAGTATTAGGATATGGGCAAAACCAAGATCAACATAATACATTTGCATTTCCAATGATCCATGTTAGCATATGATTAATACTCTAGAGTAATCTTTATTTACCGGCATATCATAAAAAAGTTATATTTTTGTCATATAAACTCTTTCATGTTTTAATTTTTTTAGTCAACAATGATTCTCTTTCAGTATAAATTATGAAAAAAATATATTTAGTTATGACATAAATTCAATATAACTAAATTCATGTTAGAAGCTAGTTTTAATATATCAAATTTTTATACTATTTATTTATTTAAAATATACTCCCTCCGTAAAGGACTATTGGGAAGATCTATGGGGGAAAAGAGAGTATTTAATTCATGATCAAAAAATTTCATTTTTTGATCAAAAAAGTGAAAACATGAAATAGTTTATAGAATGGAGGGAATATTTGTGTAGGAGGCCTAGGAGCAGAATAAAGATGCACAACGTATAATTACATATTTGTCTTTTAGCATTTGATTAATAGCTCTTGATTAATCTCTACTTACGAGCATGTGATAGAAAAGTTGTCTTTGTATAAGGCCAGAATAAAGATCCACACCGTTTATGGGAACGTCTAAAATGACACCAGTTACTTATACACCAGTTCGTTTGGGGTATCTACGATGCTCCGTTTGTAACTTTAACACTCCCCCTCAAGTGGACAACCGGGCCATTTTGAATCTAACCGGTTGACCACTTGTAAATGAACTCCCATTCTCTTGACTTTTTTTATGAGCGCCAACACCTAAAGGACCACGAGTCGCTGGGTATGGACTTCCTAACGAGCAATCGTGTTAAACAGGCCACAGGCCGTTGGGTACATACTCCATACGGACAACTGGGCTAAAGACTAACGGGCCGCTAGGAATGAACGTCTAGACGGATACCTTAACAAACGAGGTGGGCTAAAAGTGGCTTTGATACCATGAAAAGAATAAAATATTTTCTATTTCTTGATGATTTTGAATGTGAGTACAAGGGATTATTTATACAAGAATGGGATTAGCCTAGGGTAGCCTAGAGTTTTCTAGAGTAATTTCATAATAAAGGTGTAATAATTACCTTAATCATGATGGGACAAATATGTTACAAAACTATACATTAAATATAATAAATATTATATTTAACATGCTCCTAGCTATCTAGGTGGTACTGAACGAACACCAAGATTGTCTCTGAAATCATGAAATAGTAGAGATGGTAGTCCCTTTGTGAAGATATCCGCATACTGTGAGGATGACGGAACATGTAGAACTCGAACCTCACCCAAGGCAACCTTATCTCGGACAAAATGAATATCTACCTCCACATGTTTGGTTCTTTGATGTTGAACAGGATTAGAGGAAAGGTACACTGCACTCACATTATCACAGAAGACTAAAGTAGCACGACGTAATGGTTGTTGAAGTTCCAGCAACAGATTCCGTATCCAACTTGTCTCAGCTACTGCGTTTGCCACTACCCGATATTCTGCCTCTGCACTAGAACGAGAAGTGGTAGCTTGTCGTTTGGAGGACCATGAAACGAGATTATCACCTAAGAAAACACAATAGCCAGATGTGGAGCGACGAGTGTCTGTGGGTGAACGGGTAAAGGTGATACCGTAGGTGGCTGTCTGTAACGCCCTGAAAACTGACTCAGTAGTTAGCCGTTATTTTAATAAAAAAATAAATAGATTATTTACTTTCTTTAAAATATGAAATATTTGTAAAGTTGACCATTTTAAATAAAAAATTAGGTTTTCGGGTAGATCTCGTAAAATGGTGACCAACGGTATATAATTTGTTAAATTTGACCTTTCGTATACACCGCGATAAACAAAATAGACGTTACAGTTCAATAAATAAAATAAAGAATTTTAATAATAAAGTATTATAAAACCTAATAATACGCACGCACAACCCTATTCCTAATTCCGTTTGGGAAGTCTAAAAGTTACCCAAACCTACGGTTATAAATACATAAGGAAACCCCTGCCTTTTCATCACCTTCCTTGTTCTTCTCTCTGCGCGTCGGACCGGAGTTTGAGTTTCGCCGGGGTTGTCGCCGGAGTTCTACAAGGATCAGCCGGAGTTTAATTTGTCAATTGAGGTGAGTGATTTATCTCTCGTTAGAGTTAATTCATAGATTAGGGTTCGTTGATATATTTTCATGTAATTGATGATGGATTTGTGAATTGAATTGTTGGATTAATTGATTGATTGAATTGGATTGAACTGGGAATTAGTACCGTTCTTGCTCGGTTCTGCTTTATCGCTTCTTTTGACCTTCCTCTGTCCTTTTCCTCGTTCTGTTCTGTTCTTGCCTTCTTCTATGTTCCGTTCTGTTGGTCTTGCTGCCGAGAGCCCCCACCTTGGAGCTGCTACTGTTTGCTATGGATGCCGAAGAGAGACTGACGCCGCCGGCAAGACCCTGGCCCACTGCAGTGCTGTACTGCCGTCGCCGTTATCACCAAGACGCTACCGTCTGGTACCGCTGCTGTTTGTTGATTACACTGCCTCTTGCGCCCTTACCGAATTGGGCTTCCTCAATCTACCTAAAGTTTAGTTTAAGGAAATACTCAATTGAGGGATAACCTGACTCAATTATACTACCCAATTATACTACCAAAGTTAACAAGACATGCCCATGTAGTTTAGCTATTGCTTTGTACAACTTGTTGGTAGTATTTTCTATTTTACTGAACTGGAATTATGAAATAGTCACCTGGTATATCTAGGGAACTCTGAACTGAATTGGATTTATGAGTATATATTGGAATCACCAAATAAGTTAAGATTTAGAATTTAGGCCTAGTGGGGCGAGCTTCGCATAACTCACAGGTCTTGGGTTAAAAACGTACGTACGGGAGTCATTAGCCTACCTAGGGATTCCTTTGTAGGGGCTCCAACCCGCCCATTGAGGATTCTCTTTGGGTTCCATCAAGCGTGGCCTCGGGGGATCCGTCCGAGTGTCCATGACTTAGTTAGTCAAAAGGAAACCTTAGCCTATAGGGTTAAGTGTAGATGAACAACAGGAACTGAATATAAATAATTAGTTGATCATGGTATTCGATAATGATATTTGCTGATTCTTCTGATATTGTGTGATTATATATTGATGGGTGCTAATCTATGAGTTAGTTCTAGCGTTAGATACTTCCACTCTTCCTATATTTTTACAGGTATAGATCAAGGACTGAATGAGGAGCAGCCTGGAGAGGAGTGAAGCGTGATGCTAGTGGATGGCCCGATGCTATTTGAAATCGAATTAAATACTCGTTGACTTTTATTTTGTTTAAACTACAAGAATGTTTGATGATGTTGTTTTAAAGGCTTCCGCAACGTTTGAGTTATTTACTCCGATTAATTATGAATTGTTTTTCATTAAATATAAATGTATGTTTTATTTTAAATGTTTTCAAAATATTATGCATGTGAATACCAAATTAGTGAAAACCCGACTCGCTAACTCGTCGTTTCGGGTTACGCGGGTTGGGGTGTTACACTGTCCCATGCAAATATCGGAGGACCCGCTTCATGGCCGTTAGATGGGGAACCCGTGGGTCATGAAGATGAAGACAAAGCTGCTGGACGGCATAAGTAATGTCCGGTCGAGTAAAGGTAAGATACTGAAGGGCACCAACAATGGAGCGATACAATGTGGGGTCCTCTACTAGGGAGCCGCAGGCCGTCCCTAGCTTGCTCTTTGTGTCAACAGGTGTGGATATGGGTTTGCATGTGAGCATCCCGGCACGCTCTAGAATCTCATGCGTGAATTGAGTTTGATGGAGAAAAAGGCCGTGTTTTGTTCGTTGAACATTTATGCCAAGGAAAAAATGAATATCTCCCATGTCCGTCATGGCGAATTCTCCCTTCATCCGTTGTGTGATACGATGGAGTAGCAAGGTAGATGAGGCTGTGAGAACAATATCATCAACATAAAGAAGAAGATAAGATGTGTCCTTCCCATGAGCGTAGACAAAAAGTGAGGTGTAGGTTTTGCATCCTTGAAAACCCAGTGACTGAATGAAGGTGGCAAACCGATGATACCAAGACCTGGGTGCTTGCTTTAATCCATAGAGTGCTTTCTTGAGTTTGCACACATAATGCGGACGAGAGGGATCCTGAAAACCAGATGGTTGAGTGGCATACACTGTTTCCTCTAAACTGCCATGAATGAAGGCGTTCTTGACATCAAACTGATGAATTGGCCATCCGCGGGATAATGCCAAGCTGAGGACTATACAAATAGTAGCAGGTTTTACCACCGGACTGAAAGTCTCTTCATAGTCAACACCGTAACGTTGATTGAAGCCACGGACCACCCACCGAGCCTTGTACCTAGACAGATCACCTGTAGGACCAAATTTATGACGAAAAAGCCATTTTCCGGTGATGACATTTTGATTAGGGGAAGGAGGTACTAGTTCCCATGTATTATTTTTAATCAAAGCATTAAATTCATCACACATAGCATTATACCAGTTAGGATCTTTTAGTGCACTGCGATATGTGGGGGGTATGGGTGAAATTGGGCTAGTGGCGGTTGTATTGAGATTGAGAATGGTTTTTGGGCGGGTAATGCCAGCTTTGGAGCGGGTAACCATGTGGTGTGTGTTGAGAGTGGGATGTGGTTGTTGGGCCGAGGAAGGTGGGCTTGGACTAGATTCGGTGTGGGTATCCGAAGAGAGGAATGGGGTTTGAGTTTCATTTGTTTGGATTGTGAGTGAGGGAGAGGGTTGGGTGTTGTTCGAGGGAATGGATGCAGGTGGGGGTGATGTGATATTTTGACGATGATAGGGTAAGTAATCATCCTCCATGGAGTCGAGGAAATCAAACTCGGTGGGAGAAGAAGTGTGATTATAGGGAAATAGGGATTCATCAAAAACAACATGTCGTAAGATAATAATTTTGTTATTTTGAAGATCAAGACAGCGATAGCCGCGTTGGTTAGAGGGGTAGCCAAGAAAAATGCACCGGGCCGAGCGTGGGGCAAGTTTATGGGGCGCTGTGGCGGTTAGGTTTGGGTAGCATAAGCATCCAAAAACACGGAGATGTGAATATGAGGGAGTTTTGTGGTATAGAAGTTCATGGGGAGTGCGATTTTGAAGTGTGGTGGTGGGTAGTAGGTTGAAGAGGTGTGCGGCCATATGTAAGGCTTCCACCCAAAAGTTAGGAGGTAGGTTTGCCTGAAACAAGAGAGCTCGAACGGTATTGTTAATGGTGTGAATGGTGCGCTCGGCTCGACCATTTTGCTGACTAGTGTGAGGACATGAGAAACGGAATACTATCCCCAATGAATCAAAAACCGACGCAAGGGGGGAATTTCGATATTCCGTTCCATTGTCACATTGCACGGCTTTAATAGTTGAATTAAATTGATTTTTAACAAAAGCTATAAATTTAGTTAAGTGTGAGTAAGCTTCAGACTTGTGTCGTAGAGGAAATACCCATAAATAATGAGAATAATCATCCAATAGTAACATGTAAAATTTAAAACCTGTAATACTAGAGACAGGAGATTGCCATAAATCAGTGTGAAGTAGTTCAAAAGGTAAAGTGGAAATACGAGTGGATAAAGTAAAGGGAAGACGAACATGTATTCCTAATTGACACGCATGACATAAACTGGACTTCCGACATTTATTAAAAAAAGGTAATAAAGGACTGGAGACCCCATGGAGAACAGCAGGGCTAGGGTGACCAAGTCGGCGATGCCATGTGTCAAGGTCAACAGTGGCAGCGTGGGCTTGGGCATCCGGAGGACTGAAGGTGTATAATGGGCCATCATTACTGGACCGATGTATCACGGTTCCCGTCCGAAGGTCCTTCACAGAAAAACCATGGGAGTCAAATTCAATAGAACAGTTATTGTCACGGATAAATTGGCGAACAGAAATAAGGTTATGAATAATATGAGGGGATATGAGGACATTATTTAGGGAAAGAGGGGGGGAGGTATTAAAAAAATGTTTACCGATCGCAGTGGTGTGCACTTTAGAACCATTACCGACAGTAATGTGTGGTGGTGAATAAATACTTGAATTAAAAATAGGAAAAATTACCCAAAATAATCCCAACTTTACCCGGTCTTTCAAAAATAATCCCACCTTTCACTGTGATGCATAATAATCCCAACTTTATTGAAATTTGCCAGTTTTGGGTCGCCGTTAAATTTCTAACGGAGGGTTAACAGAAATGCCCGTTTTAGGCAACAAAATGAAAGTTGGGATTATTTTTGATGAATTTTTGTTTTTTAATTTTTTTTGAAATTTTTATTTAAATTTTTTGAATTACTTTCAACCTCCATTTCTTTTTCTTTTTTTAAAGATTATTCTTACCTTAGAAAAAATAGATATAAAAAATAATGAAAATGAAAAAAATAACTAAAACCATATAAAATTAATCAAATAAATAATGTAATCAATAGAAATTAAACAGAAACTGGTAAGAAATAAAATAAATATATACGGAGTGGTGGGTTTTAACATTTTACACACTATATGGAGTCTTAATATACTACTTATTTTTAAAAGAACGAGCCATCCGGTAAAGTTGGAATTATTGTAGATAATTTTTTTCTAAAATATAAGAAGTGATATGTTAATACTTTGTATAATGCGTAAAATATTAAAACCCACCCGTATATTTTTATTTTACTCTTACCAATTTCAAGTTAGTTTCCATTGATTACCTTATTTATTTTATTATTTTTGTATCATTTTAGTTACATTTCTCATTTTTTTCATTTTTTATATCTATTATTTTTATTTTTTAAACTAAGACTAATCTTTAAAAAAGGAAAAAGAAATGATGATGGAGGTAGAAAGTAATTTAAAAATTTTAAATTAAAAATTTTAAAAAAATAAAAAAAAATGAAAATTCATCAAAAATAATCCCAACTTTCATTTTGTTGCCTAAAACGGGCATTTCCGTTAACCCTTCGTTAGAAACTTAACGGTGACCCAAAACTGACAAATTTCATTAAAGTTGGGATTATTATGCATCACAGTGAAAGATGAGATTATTTTTGAAAGACCGAGTAAAGTTAGGATTATTTTGGGTAATTTTTCCTTAAAAATATGGGAAATATTATCTGGGTCAGAGGCAATGTGATGTGAGGCTCCTATGTCCATGTACCAAGTAGGTTCACGAAGATTTAAGGTGTCAAAGGCATGGGCTAGGGCCGTGGGTGATGGGGTGGTAGGTGGTTGTGGGCTGCTGGGTCGGGGTGCTGGGTAGGTGGTGGGGTCTGGTGGGGGGTTGTATGGGTAAGGATAGTAGGGGGGTGGGTAAGAGTTAGCATAATAGGATTGGGCATAATATGGGGAGGGTGGGTTATTGGGCCTTGGGCCCAAAAGACCAGGCCCAGGGTGATACTGCCAAGTTGAATGACCCGGGGGGAGGAAGGATTGCAGCTGTCCGTTTCTACGCTGGTTTCCGTCTCTGCCGTCCCTGCCAAATCGTCCGCCTCTGCTGCGCCCGTCTCTGCCTCCGCGTCCACCGCCGTTCTGCCGTCCTCCGCCAAACCGGCCGCCGCTCTGCTGATGCTGAATTCCGTAAGTGGTGCCGCCAATAGGATGTGAAGGAGTCTGCGATTGGCCAGTCCTCCCAGCGGCCAGAAGCGCCGTGCCAGATTCTCCGGCGGCCAGAGGCGTGCGCTGCTGATCCAAGAGAAGTAGGGCCGATCGGGCTTCCAAAAATGTTGGGGGAGGCTTCTGAAATTGGAGAAAGGATGCCCGGCTTTGGAGATCTTCCGGGAGACCGCGTAGGAGTTGGAGAACGAGTTGATTGTCGGTCAGGGGTGCATCAACGTCATCCAAATAATCGGCCAAATTCTTGAGTGTTTGACAATAGTCAACCATGGATTTTGTGCCTTTGACCGTAGTGCAAAATTGATGCTCAAGTTGCATCGCTCTTGCGTTCTTGTTATCATGAAAAAGGTCATGAATCGCCTTCCATAGTCCGGCGGCGGTGTCATGAGAGGCAATGATGAGATCGGACACTTCATCGGTGACCGTTGAGAGAATCCATCCTTGAAGAAGGGCATCAAACTGGACCCATTCTGTGTCATTTTCTCCGGAGGGTTGTGTGACACCGGTGAGATAGCCTTGGAGATTGAAACGTCGCACAAGAAGAAGAAAGAGGCGACTCCATTTTTTATAGTTAGGGGCGGAGATGCTAAGTTGAATAGGGATATGAAGCTTAATGTTTGAGATGGTTGTGAAGGCGAGATGAGGAGAATTTGGTGTGGTGGAGGTAGAAGAAGTAGTAGTAGAGGAGTTGTCGGAAGCCATGTCGAGAAAAGAGGGAGAAGGAGATTGCCGAAAAAAGAGGGAGAAGGAGATTGCCGAAGAAGATGATCTCAATTGTATAGGATTTACCATTATTGTTGTTTCCTTATTCATACCCCTCCTTTAAGGGGAGGCGGATCATTTGTAATGATTATCGAAATACATAATTCTTCATGGTATCAGAACCAACTCTGGGCTAATCCCAAACCGTCTCTTCTTTGTCTTCCCTCGGCGTGCCTCTCTCTAAAGTGGACAAAACGGACAAGGGAGGGGGGCAAGGGTGGGGCTGAAGTGGGGGTTTAGGGGGGGTTAGGGGGGTAGGAACCGTCGTTTTTACAAACGGAGCATTGTAGATACCCCAAACGAACTGGTGTAAGCAAATGACACCAGTAGCACTGGTGTCATTTTAGACTTACCGTTTATATAGTTGGACCTTTAGTAATCCATGTTAGCATTTGATTAATCGGCCTGACCCGAACACACCCGTCCCGACCCCTTCAATTGCACCTCCAAGTTAATTTTTACTTTGAAGTCAAAATTTAAACTCAAAGTTAAAATTAACTTTGGGTGCAATTGAAGGTGGCAGAGGAGTGTATTCGGGTTAGGACGGGGTGAGGGTCTACCGAAGATTAGAGGGATATGAACTGTCAATTTTACGAATAGGGTACCGGAGCACCCCAAATCATCTCATGATATTGATTCCACGTGTCATGAGAACATGGATGGATTAATAATGTAAAATTTGCATCAAGAAAGTGATAGAAAAGGGAAAAATTGTCACACACAAAAAAAAAGCACAACTTTTAGACAAATAATCATTTCTGACACAACTTTGTTTTTAATCAATTAAATACAAAGCATCTAGAATATACACATACAAAATGTATTTTTAGTCAAGGTCTTTTAGGAACAGCCTCTCTACATCCTCGTATGGGTAAAGTTGGTATTAAGAAACTTGGTCTTGTGGGATTTTAGTGTTATTGTTTTATTAAATTATTTGAAAATAGGCCTGTTATCGTTCTTGTTGTATAGAGTATTCACATAATCACACTACTCAATTCACTAAACATAAACTTAAATTTAAGATTGGGAAGGTGATGATGCTTCACGCCTTTGGCTGCGCATTGTTGCTCCCCAAGATCCATTAGAGTCGTCTTTACACATGCTTCTTCTCTTTAGTTCTGAAAGCTGGGACTGCCACCTATTTTTCCACTCACTTTTTTCTTCCATTGCCTAAACTAAGAGGGAAAAAAAAGATCTTTGTATCAGAAAGAGGAAATGAGAGAATTGGACACATATAAAAAGGTTTAACTCTAAAGTGCACAAAAACAAATCCGTGAGAGTTTAGTCCAAAGCGGACAATATCATACTGATGCGAGGATGGGGTGAGGTACGCGCAATCCCAACAGGATCAGTATTGTGGGAATTATCCCAAGCTTGGTGAATGCTTTGAAAAGCACAAAATGTATGAAAGCTGAAAGCTGTTGGCAAAGACAGAGAGCCTTTAACAGCCTATAATGCCGGAAACCATTTTCAACCACAAGCTTTTAGAGCGTTTAGCTCAGCATGTTTATGGCAGTTCCTTGATGAAGATGGGCGCGCTTATCCAAATGATAAAGCGTGCGTCAGTGAGGTTGGTTTGTTTAACTCCTATCAAGGTTGGAGCTAGTGAGATGCTTCTGAATGCCGATCACGAAAAAAACATTACTTTGAAGAACTGTTGGTGTGGTAATACGTTGATCAAAGTAGAGTGCGTTTGTAAACTGGCAAAGAAATACATGGTCGACACAATTGTTATTGTGTCGCCGGTAAACGGTGGGCCCGAAGAGTTGGATATGTTTGTTGTGGTCAAAGAAGGATCTAAGATCTGTGCCAGAAGCTGAAGACAATTTTCAAGAGTCTGTCCATACAAGCAGTTTCAATCCTTAGTTCAATGCAAATAAGGATTGTAAAGTTTCAACTAAGACCGAATGTTTGAATTCAAATTACAATTACATGTCAAACTAGCGCCTGAGCATCATAATTTTGTTTAAAACTAGGTGGCTGTGAGTTTCCTCTTGGTCAACAAGATTTTAATACCATGTTAAATTAAAGAACCAACTCAAACAAAAACTAATGTTTGTAAATTGTAACTGAGGCCCCTAAAATTTGAATAGGGCTTTATAACCTCTGTACCAAAATTTTTGTCAGTTTTTCATTTTTTGCAGTATTTGTCAGTTTTTCATTTTTTGCAGTAAAAAATTACGAAGAATAAACTTTAACTATTAATTAAATAAAATTGTAAAAACTATTTGTCACGAATAATTTTATTAGATGTATCTTGTAAAATATTTTTAAAATATTATTTTTTTTAAGTTATTAATATACTACCTTCGTCCATGAGTATTTGTCCGATTTTGAGTATATTGTATATTAATTACATAAAATAATATTTTGAAAAATATTTTATACAATAAAATTAATGCAATAAGTTTTGTATCAATATCAAATATCATTTTTATTTAATTTAAGGTAAAAAATTTTCAATTTTGACATAAAAAGAAAAAAAATAGACAATTACTCAGGCACCTAGGGAGTATCATGTACTCCGTAATTTTTAATGTATCTAAAATCTTGGAAGTGGGAAGGATGGAGTATTCGAATAGAAAAACAACCACAAACCTGGACTCCACAGTAACGCCGACGAGCAGAGAGGGCGAAGTTGAGACCTTTGGCCATATCTCTATCATACAGTGCTCTCCTCGAGGGATCCGACAGCGTCTCGTAGGCCTCCTGGACCCGAATGAATCTCCGGGTGTGGTCGTCGACCCGGTCCGGCGGCGAGACATCCGGGTGATACTTCCGGGCCAGCTGCTTGTACGCGTGCTTGACGTCGGAGATAGATCCCGTCTCGGGAATTCCGAGGAGGTCGTAGAAGGAAGACGGCTTGGATTGGACTCTGATGGATGCGGCGATCCGGGGCTTCGGAAACGGGTCGGGTTGGAACTAGGAGCTGGAAGGAGGGCGAAGAAGGGAGATTGTTGGGAGGTCGATTCTTGACGGTGTTAAGCCGTAGGTGGCGCAGCGCATCTCTGGCTCTTTGTTCAGAAACGGAGGATACACAATTTACGCAACTACTCGTATCAAGTGCGCCGCCCAAGGGACAACCTGATCACGTTTGTTAGGTTTGTTTGGTCAAATTGTTTAGTTGGGTAGTTTTTTTTTTTGGAAAAATTACCCAAAATAATTCCAACTTTATCCGATCTTTCAAAAATAATTCCACCTTTCACTGTGATGCATAATAATCTCAACTTTACTGAAATTTGCCAGTTTTGGGTCGCCGTTAAGTTTCTAACGGGGTTAACGGAAATGCCCGTTTTAGGCAACAAAATGAAAGTTAGGATTATTTTTTATGAATTTTTGTTTTTTAATTTTTTTTGAAATTCTTATTTAAATTTTTTGAATTACTTTCAACCACCATTTATTTTTCTTTTTTAAAGATTATTCTTACCTTTGAAAAAATAGATACGCCCTCCGTCCTTTTTTTGATTACAATATTCCCTTTTTGTGTATATTAATAATAAGTCAAATCACTCAAAAGTTTCCCAAACTACCCTCTAATTTCATGTTGTGCTCCATCACGTGGGAAAGGCTCAAAGTGGGTTTAAATAAAGCAAATATGAATAGTAAAGTCACTGTTTACATAATGTGGGAGGGGGTATTTTGGTAACATTTATGGGTAAATGTTACCAAATTTAATTTTTGTAATCTATTTTGGGACAAATAGATGAGGGAATATTGTAATCAAAAAGGGGACGGAGGGAGTATAAAAAATAATGAAAATGAAAAAAAATAACTAAAATCATACAAAATTAATCAAATAAATAATGTAATCAATAGAAATTAAACAGAAACTAGTAAGAAATAAAATAAATATATACGGAATGGTGGGTTTTAACATTTTACACACTATACGGAGTCTTAATGTACTACTTATTTTTTAAAAGAACAAGCCGTCCGGTAAAGTTGGAATTATTGTAGAAAATTTTTTCTAAAAAATAAGTAGTGATATGTTAATACTTTGTATAATGCGTAAAATATTAAAACCCACCCGTATATTTTTATTTTACTTTTACCAATTTAAAGTTAGTTTCCATTGATTACCTTATTTATTTTATTATTTTTGTATCATTTTAGTTACGTTTCTCATTTTTTCATTTTTTATATCTATTATTTTTATTTTTTAAACTAAGACTAATCTTTAAAAAAGGAAAAAAAATGATGATGGAGGTAGAAAGTAATTTAAAAAATTTAAATGAAAAATTATAAAAAAAAATAAAAAAAATGAAAATTCATCAAAAATAATCCCAGCTTTCATTTTGTTGCCTAAAACGGGCATTTCCGTTAACCCCCGTTAGAAACTTAACGGCGACCCAAAACTGGCAAATTTTAGTAAAGTTGGGATTATTATGCATCACAGTGAAAGGTGGATTATTTTTGAAAGACCGGGTAAAGTTGGGATTATTTTGGGTAATTTTTCCTTTTTTTGGTAAAATAAATTATACGGAGTATAAAAGAAACAAACTAGAATAATATATTGATATTCCCTCTCCCTTCTTAAAAGAATGTCTTTCTTTTTCAACAATCGCGTGAACTTTTGTTTATTTGTACGTTTTCTAGATCCGATCACAATCCCGGGTGCCCGACGCGTCAAACTGTAGCCAGTTACCGCCACAGAAGAATCACAGCGCAGACCGGACTGTACCAAGGTATCGTACCGAACAGTGTCCAGCCCTTCATTTGTTTGTTTGTTCCGATTTGAGTTTCAGATTGACTTCGAGACCTTGTATGTTCGATGACGGTACATGAAAGGTATTTACACTCGATACTAGGCCACTATTTGTATTGTATGATAAGTATTTAATTGTTGTTATACTCTTTTTATATTTTAAGTGTAATTTTGATATGCCTTGAACAAATATAGTGAATTGAGATTGTTGTTGGAATACATCTTAGAATGAAGAATTGTTATAAATAAATGATTAGGCTGCTTAAAAGAACTCTAATACTAGATTGTAAGTATAAATGCCAATAGGTAGAATCGACCTTGAAGATCTGATGGATGCGGGTTAAAACGCACGTAGGGATCCACAAACTATCATTTCGAGAGGACAGGGGTACCACCCACCTAGCGGAGAACACCTTTGTTGGTAAAGTCGTGTTGTAATGCGTTGTGTCAGTTGTTAAAATAGCTTTAGCCTAAAATAGTTTATGAGCGAGTGTTAGAGACGAAATTACATAAAGACAAGAATGTTGAATTGATAACGCCCCAAAATATACCCTACAATTATTACTGAATAATGATTCAATTAATCAAATTTGTTTTGATTAAAATAAATTATTGTTGGGCTTTGTGCCGAAATAAAATATGTTTTGATATCCAATATCACAATCTGGATAAATCTTATAGAGATAAATCCAATATATAAACTTTATGTGTGATCTTGATTGGGAACCAGAGTACATACCCTAGTTAAGAATAAATAAAGAATTTGTTTATAATGCAAACTTTTAAATGATTTATTGAAATAAATTACGAGAATAGTTAATATGAATTAAATGCGAGAACCTTTTTGAGTAAAGGTTAATTAAATTAATTTTGATTCTATCAAAATCAAATACCCAAAAATAAGATGTCAGAAAAAGTATTAGAAATAAATATAAAAATTATATCATTTGATAGAGTTTGACTGTCAGATGTCAACAGTGCAAATATATTTTAATTCGGAGAAAATTGGACCAAAAAGTGTACCCCGATTGGAGCCATATTTATCCCAATCAAGAAATGGCGTGGAAAGTCCTACGAATCGGCAGTCCTGCGCACTACGCCGATCGAACGATTTGTGAAGGAGACATCCCTGACTTCTTCTTCATCACAACCACTATATAGGCCCACCTCACCTCCTTCATTTCTTCACCATTCTTCACAATTCTACTTTCTATTCTGTTGCTCTAAGTAAGGAAAACGTAGTGGTGCTATCAATTTGGTGAGAGGTCGCTAGAGTTGGGAGTAATCGTCGTTGGAAGTTTTGTTGGAAAATTTCCAAGACCTCTGTTTAAGCCCGAGGTAATCCCGTATATATTTCTAATGACTAGAATATTTGTATAGATCGTTTCTACGTTCATAAATGGTGAGTTTTGTGTTTGACATGTTTGAAAACCAATAATCATAAACCTTGAAATTATTCTTAGAACTAAAACTAATGTTACCAAAATGATCTATGAACTTTGGAGAACATTTCTATATATTTTAATTGAAATTTGGTGACTTAAAATGACAATTCAGAAAATTGGCACAAGGTTGAAGATGACACTGTTCAAAACTACGCGCAGTACGGTATCACCCTACCGTCGACACAGTAGGTTATACCGTGACCACGGTAGGCCGCCTGCCGTCGGCTTCTACTCCACAAGTAGTGGCTAGCGGCAGTCAGTACCGATGTACCGTGCTACGATACCGAGGTACCGTACCGGGTACCATCCATAACCTAATATTTTCTCGAAACCCAATTTTTGAACTATTAAATCCTATTTTTGATACCAATTAATTATGATTAATATAAAGATTATTTCTAGGAAAAAAGATGTTTTTGACTAATAAAATTTTATGTGATTTATGACGGTAAGCTAGGGTGATCAACGCTAGGCTGATATTTTATAATGAATATTATTAATTGATGATTATGATGATTAAACCTTGATGAGTATTCCGATTAGAATGATAATTATGAATAATTGAACCATGATTTAAAAATGAATATATATATTGATGATTATGAAAATGGTGTGTATTGTTAAATGCATCTAGAAAAACTTCAAGATATTTTAATATGATCTGTTTAGTTGAATTGTTATTGAATTTTAAGACTATCTTGAAGAATTCTAAGATAGGCCTCAAATTAGAATAAGTCTTGCAAACATAAAAATGTAAGCTTTCCTTTGTCGGGTTTCTGGATTGTACATTAAGCGAAGGCTAATTTAAGAGTTGGGAAACCTTTTTAAAAATATGTACATTAAACTAAGCATAACTTAAGAGTTGGTTAGGAGTACCTTAAACTAGAATATAGTTTAAGAGTTGATTAGAAGTACATTAAACTAGAATTAGTTTAAGAGTTGGTAAATATTAAATTGGCCTTAGACTAAAAATAGTTTATGAGTATTATTGACATTATGAATGTTGAATATGAACATTGAGTGTTGAATATTGAATGATGAATATTGAATATTGATGTGCATGATATCAAATGACTTGAGTATGAATTGAGACTTAATTTATATTGATGTTCAACGCATTAGATATTCTTACTCAACTTCAATGCTGAGCGTGTAGTATGTTTTATTTGCTACACGCATGTAAACAAAAAGAATGAAGTGATGAATTCCTAGGGGCAAATGGAGCGAGATGGTCGGGATGGATGTGTAAATCTGAATTACTGTTCTAAAAGACATAAATTTATTGTGTTTGTAATAGTTACGGAGTATTTGTTAAGCTTCCGCAACTTTAAATAATCCGTTATTATTCTAAATACTTTATCCTGAAATAAAATTTTAAATTGTTTGAAATATTTTGAATGTTTACGATTACCAAATTAATACTTTATTCCGAAAGGGGTTGCAGACCTGGACAGATTAGGGTGTTACACAGCCAAATAAACAAGGTAAGTAACATTATGTGTGATTGATATGATATTGTTGATATTATTTGATGATGTAATGTGATGTTACTTGTGCATGAAATTCTATGAGTGATTATGTATGTTGAAATAACCCTATGTGTGACTTCTACTGTTAGAACCTCTCACTCAAAATGAAAGTTGAGCGTGTAGTTTGTTTTACTTGCTACAAGTAGGTAACAAAAATGATGTATAAGGACACAATCCCGGAGGGCATCAAGGATGAAGAGATGGATGTATGCTGGCTGAGGTAGTTTATTTAGATTAGTGTTATATTGAATTTAATATGTTTTCGGACAAAGAACCCAAAGCTCTGTTTGAATTAAGTTCTTAAGTTTTTGCACAATTTTTGTTTACTCCGATGGATAT